AAGCTAAAAAAAAAAACTTCATGTGGGAAGGGGACTATAAACTACAAGCTACCAACATTAAGAAAGCAAGGTTATTATGGTAACGGTAATTTTGACATTTGTAATTGAGAGTTCAAATGTAAACAATAAAATAAAGTTTATATAATATCATACGGATGAAGCCGCACGGGAACAGCTAGTTGATTATAATTGGATGTCATATTTTCCTTTCTTTGTGTTACTTATTGTATAAACACTCATAATCGCATCTAAACATTGTAATAAGTTAGCAAGGTTAGTTTAAACTTATGAATAATTCAGGCGATAATAGTTTCAAATCGACAGATAATTGAATTGTTATCTCTGTACGGCTTTACATGACATTACCAGGTGTCAATCTCCGTACAAAATACACTAATGCGCATGTTTCAAAGTAATGTATGGAATATATTTTTTTCTTTATAATATAAGGTAGCAAACAAGCAAGCGGCCACCTGAATCCACCAAAATGGAAAGCGACCGCTGCCCATAAGATGCGATGTCTACCTTTTTGACGGAGGAGGAGACGCACTTAAAGGGGATATTTCCCCTTCTTAAGCGTCTCAACCGCAAATCCACTTTTTCTTCCCATCCTTTTCTCTAAAGGGTGGAAAGGGAAAGGGACTGACACACTCATCAGACGAAATGCGGAATTGCTTCCACTTCACGCCTGTCTTCTGTGTGGTTGTGGTATTACACCGGGCGAGTCGGCCCATTCGTGCGTAGATGTCAAAGCGAGCTCTACCATTGTAGTCTAATTTTCATGCGAAATATTTTTGTACCTGTATTTTTTCTCGTTAGTCACTTCTAAATATTATTTCGTGCATTTCATGCTTATCTAAATACTGAAATTCAAATCATCATGTATATCCTCGGTAGTATAGTGGTAAGTATCCCCGCCTGTCACGCGGGAGACCGGGGTTCGATTGCCCGCCGGGGAGGGAACTTTTTGCTGTTAAAATAACACTGTAATTGTCAATTAATAGCATACTATACACAAAATAATTAAAATGTATAAGTTTTTTATAGTGGAGCCAAGGAAACCACTTTTATATTATAGTAAGATGCTACTCTTATGTGTAAAAAATCTTAAAATTAAAACAGAGTAACTTAGTAGTTTAGCATAGCAACTTACCAAGCTTACTTTCTTACCTGAATATGTAAATTTATAATTCTACCGGACTTCGAAATTGGCTGTATCATATACCGCCTCCATAGCTCAGGGGTTAGAGCACTGGTCTTGTAAACCAGGGGTCGAGAGTTCAAATCTCTCTGGAGGCAACTTCTCATCTCCTTTTATTATTTTTATTAATAGCTATACATTTAAGATTTTTCTATTTTTGCGACTTTTTTATAATAGAAATTTGTATTTAAATAAAGAAGAGGTATTATAAATGAAACGATCGTTTTATTTAAATGTATTTAAGTGTATTAGCAACGTTGGTACATGATACAGAGTAATACTGTTGTGGGATATCGTAAGACGCGGCGCCCCCCGCGCCCCCTGCGCTCCTGCGCCCGCCATAACAAATGTACTAGAGTACAGAGTAAAAAAAACATCACCCTTCCAATAAAAATCGTGCACATCTATGCAACTTACAATATTCATTACAACTTCAAATACGCTCCTATTACAACTATAAATTCAATAACTGATTATTTTTAATACATTAAGGACACTACTGATAAATATAAAAACGTGAGCATTCATACAAATAGGAGATTTATTTCACTTAATTATACGCTTTTATAAGAATGATCGATGGTACAAAAAAACTAATCTATGTTGACATTGACACATACTAAACGCCATCTTGAAAATTTGCTTTGACAGATGTCAACTGGCATCAAATAATTATAAATTTAAAATTGTGTTTCATGAAAATATCCAAGTTTATATTATTACAAAAATTAAAAACAAATATATTAAGAGTAAAAATAACAATCTTTACTTTTCAATCATCCTTATAAAGTCAACTAATACAGTCACCACAATCAATATTCAAACTCCATTCGTTCAGGAATCGTTACATACAGCCTAGTCCATGAGAAATTACTACATGAGTCAATTATACTAAAATATTACTAACATTTCCTAATACCCATACATTTATCGGTAAAAAAAATTACTACGTGAAAGCGTTAATCAAACAAGAAAAATAAAAAAAAACCTGTGAAGTAAAGCGTATACTTACAAAATGGCTATTTATGTATTTATGGTAAAAACTTCCAAAAATTTTAATTCCATATTCGAGTCTTTAAACATTTTAAGCAAATCCATTTTCAATATTGTATCCATAAGGTATCCAATATCGTATTATAAAATAGGCCCTTAAAACGCGCAGCAACTCTTCAAAACTATAAAAAAGGAAAATAAAACAAAGAAAAAAAAAACAAAACATAAAATCATGAAATTTATTCTCTGTGAAATTTATAATATAATTTCTGTACGCTTGAGAATATTTTATTTTTTAAAACCTACATACATAAGACAAACTAATTATTTCTACATAACGTCGCAACGACAAAAGACTGCCTTTGTTAAAATATTTATTTTTATCATAAAATTTTTAAATAAAATATAAATAACTCGAGTATTACCGTTCCAACAACTCTATAATCTATGGTTGACCATAGACATTAATATAATTTTTAAAAACCGTGGCATAACACTAGAATATAGATCTCCATAGATGAAGCTACGATGACTTAATTACATCGAAAAATTTAAGAGATCTGTGAAATGGAAGATAAATGACGAGAGACGAAAACCATAACCCTGAGTTCTCACTGCCAAAAAAACTGTACAAAAACATCTTTTGATTACACATGTTTAGCAGTGAAAACTCACGGTAATGCTACTATACAAGTTTAGAAGAATGATATATAATGGTATTTGAACAAAAAAATCTAATAGTTTCTACAATCTAATCTCACATAACGCAACCATAAATGTAGAATACACGATTAAATACACTTATATTAAATTTTTAGGTTATAAAGTGGGAATTATCAAATCGCTTCATAGAAGCGACACTGCCTGGCAAGCGACATCAAACTGTAATCTTACATTTTTTTATAATAAAAAATATACAAAAAACTTACAAAATACTTAAAAATCAATATAATGCACTGGATGAGGGTAGTTTTGTACCAGGTTGCTCAGTCGATGCTCAGTCCGGGCTTAACGCGGACGTATTGACAAATGCATTTATTGTGCATAAAAATATCCAAAAAACGAACATCACAAAAACCCTTATCACTTAACCTAACTAATATTGATATATGGTCGATAAATAAATAATTACAATGCTAAACATTATTCTACGAGTAACAGTGGCGGATTTAGAAAACATTTTGAGGTCTTAACTCCTTATTTGGGGGGTCAGAACCCTAAGGGAAGATTTAACAAGAATTAAAAACCACACAATTTATGTATTTAAAATTGTGTGTCTCATTATTTAAGATTATTGAAACAGTCATTTTAAACTTGTGATGGAAGTTCTAGAAACACCAAGACCCCTGGGATCCGCCAATGTACGATATTTTCACGGAGGGTAATAGCAAATAATATAATTCTTAAAGCTGCCGCCGCTCACAAACATTTCATTGATAATATCGAGATCATTTTAAAGTATTTAAAAAACAATGGCGTTTGGTATTTACTAAACCGTTATGGCGACCAATGCCTGATCGATTTTTACCAATTTCTTAGATGTCGTTTTGTAATGTCAAACAATATAACTTTTTAGAATTACTTTCAAAACTTGTATTGGAGATACTTTAACAAACATCCATCCATCTAAACTGTCGCATATCAAGTGGATAATTGTCAAACCTTACGCCATTGTTTCTTAAATATTATCTAACATGAAGTAAATATTATGTAAGTCAACAATATGGGACTTAACTGTACACAAAAAACTAGTAAAATCTCAAATCATCCCAAAAACATAAAATACTCCTTATATTTTATGAGTTTTTTTCTCATGTGTGTTAAAATTTATTCATTTAATATTTAGATTTGACCGTTTTTTTGATATACAATTAAATCCCACTGTTTATCAGAAGTAAAAAAAACACTGATTTTCTGTCATGTTCAATAACAAAAGTCAAAAGCTGTCAACTGTGCTGTATAATGAACCTTACAGCTATATACATAAGACGGATATTCCTTAAGATATATAAAGGACAATAGACACCTATAATACAATATACGTAGAGGGCCGTGGAATGGATACAAAACACTGATCTTTACAAATGGATAGGCTATAAAACGTGGCATTTTGTCTAATTGTGTACAACTGAGTAACATCAAAAGGGTCGTTTAAAGCGGAACGCAGCAAACGTTTCCAAGTCGCCTATCCATTTATACAGATCAATGATACAAAATATTACAAAAATTGTATAAACTAGATGCCTATCCAGGAAATCGTTAAAGTATCGATTTGCGCTCGAATAGGACAGCGTGCTATACTAGGTCATTCATAAATTAACAAACTCTGAACAGTAAAAATGTATGGAAATGAGCCTTTCCGTGTTAATGAATAATGAACCTTACACTAATAGATATAAGAAGTATTTTCGTAAATTCGGTGAGCCTCGAATATCAAATACACTACAAAGACATTTAACCGTGAATCTCCACTGTTGTAATACTTGTACAGAAACATGTCTGTTATTGACAATGTCACACAAATATTGCAACAACGTAAACCCACAGTTAGAGAATACAATGGCACGATAATGTACATGAGGAATTGACTTTTTTTTACAAAGTAAACGCTACATAGGGTGATGCGTAAAATACTAATATTGTGCGATCAAAAGTTAATTTTCATAACTTTGTATATTATAGGCCATTTTATTGAGTACAAGTATGCAATTCAGTGCAGATATTTAAAACATTAAGGGCCTGTCCCACCACTGGCTGATGGTTCAGATAGCTTAAATTGACGTCACTATCAGATAAGGTAACAAAATCCGATATAGCAATCACATATTTTACACATTAGATTGTTATCAGACAATTTGCAATTTGGTGGGACAGGCCCTAATTACTGTCTTCAAACACTACGCAACGTTTTATTAATTTGATATTTACTATTTTAACAAAAAAGTGTTTTTCAAAATTGAAACATACTTTTCGATTTTCTTGTCTATATAGTTTATTTTTTAAAGTAATTATGTGCATAAAACAATCTTTTTAACTGCCATAAATTGCATACTTTTTAAACAGACTGTATATTGGCAACACTTAGAAAGCCACTTTTACATGATTATAAGAACCCTTTCCAAATATTACATAACTATATTATATTGACTGTTAGTTACAAAATTATTTACTATAGTAAGTATTATATTTATAGTAAGCACAGAGTAAGTTTACTATAAAAGTAAATAAATGCTTCAAATTCTTCAAAAATTTGAAATAAAACGGAATACTGATGGACAAGATATTTAAAATATGACACTAACTTATCAGAAGGTATAAAGAATGTAAAAGATTTAAAAACGAATAAAATGTTTATGGTAAAAATTATAGACAATAAAAAAAATCACGCGTCAAGATGACAGCTGTCAGTGTTGCTGATAATTTGCGTTTGAGTAATTCCAAAATAAAAATAACAAAGGAATTAAATCCTAAAAACTTAGGTTACATGTTTTTTTTATTTTAAATTATATTTTTCAATTCGAACGAATCATAAAGGGAAGAAGTAATGTTATTTTGCCCATCAGTAGTAAAGAGTTGCTCCCAGGATGTGGAGGTGTGGAGGCTCACCAGGTGGAAGTGGAGGTGGAGGTGGCGGTGTGGAGGTGCGGAGGAGCTAGCGGCTGCTGGGCGGCATGGGCATCTGGGCCTGCACGCCCTGCAGGTTCATGGGCCGGCCGTTGGGGTTGCCCATGCCCAGCCCGTCCTGGTAGTTGTTCACCTCCATTGTCGGAATGTCATCGTTCTGAAAACATTACATCACCGTATATCTCATTATATATGGTTTTTACTTTATAAAAAATCACATATCCAAAAAATCTGTTTAATGTAATTTATTTTGCAACTTGAAATACAAATGCATAACAAAACGGGCCAGTTTTAGGATTACAGCCCTGAGCTAGATTTATGTGATGCCTATCCTGACTGGTACTGAAGAAAAATATTTATTTACAAATAATATACACATGTATAAAATTTGCTATATAAAAATTACAACTAATACTGTAAACCAGGTTTTAGCAACATTTGCACAGATAAAAATGCCATAGCAACATAAAAAAACAAACAATAATGAGGTAATGAAAGAGCAAAGACATTTAAGAAATGTAGACTAGACATAGGGAATAATTTTTTCACCGGTAACTTTTTTGGTAGGTTATATCTGAATGTCAAATCTGACATGCTCAGACGCTTCTCAGTGTTTCGACTTTTGAACACCAAGTAGCGCTAGTAAGATTATGTGAAAATTTCAAGTTTCAACTATGCTTCTTCTATGTCTTTGTTTTAATCTCTTTGTTAATAATGTGGAAGCGCATGCAGTATGTGCGGTACCTCTCTATGCCTGCGTATGGTGCGGTCCTCGTAGCGTGTGCCGCCCGTGGAGGCCATGGGCCGACTGAGCGTGCTGTTGGCGTTGCTGGGCGAGTGCGGCGCGCCCGCCCCGCCCGCGCCGCCCGCACCGCCCGCGCCCGCGCCTGTTCGCACCACACCCGTATGTACACCCTCCCATTCAAACACGACACGTGCGAACAAGCATACATATAAGTATACACAGACTAGGTAAAGTCGCGGAATTACACGGTGCTATTTTTATTATTATTTAACAGTGGTAGAGCCCGCTTTAACATCTTCGCACGAATGGGCCAGCTCGCCCGGTGTAATACCACGACCTCTCAGAAAACAGGCGTGAAGTGGAAGCAATTCCGCGTTTCGTCTGATAAGTGTGGTGCCGGAGGCCTAATATTAATTCCTTTCCTTTTCCACCCTTTTCTTAAGAGAAAAGGATGGAAAGGAAAAGTGATTTGACTGTAGAGGAGACGCATAGGAAGGGGAAATGTTCTCTTTATGTGCGTTTCGTCCTCCGTCATTCAAGGGTAGGCAGTGCATCTGCAATTGCGGATGTTTATGGGCAGCGGTCGCTCCATTTCGGTGGATTCAGGTGGCAGCTCGCTCGTTTGCCACTTTAGGAAAAATTGCCTTATTCATTGACGGCACAAACTCCGCCTCTTCTTACAAATAACTAATTAGATGTGTGTGCAAACGAAGGGTTAATAATAAAAAACTAGCCGTGTAACACTAACCGACTTTTTTCATACACTCATAAGCTTCGTTGTATAGGTTTATGTTCCGCGTCTCGATTAAAAAGTGTTTAAAAGATTGTAGCTTTTAAGGTGGAACGCCGGCAGTTTTCCCAACTGTACATATTTCGAATCCTACAATATTTACATTAACTGCCACACAATCAATAACGAAGTGCTAAGTGTGATTTTATACAAAATGAATACAACGGGAAAGTGCTTAAATTTGCAATATATATAAAATAGTAAGATTCGAAATCATGACGCGTATTATAAATGTCATCATTTACACGTATTATATAGTTGCTTTTTAATAATGAAGTAATGTACGCAAAAATAATTTTAAAACTTGTCAACATCGACCTGATTTTAATCACGGAGAACTATATTTGTGCTTATGTATCCTACTTAGCAAGAGCTGTACAATTAAAATTGTGATATTTCAAGCTATTGTGTCTGGCTGAGAATTGCCACCTTCACCTATTTGGGTGTCGAATAATTTTATACAGAATCTTGTACAAGTTTGCACACACAATACATGTAAAAAAATTGTGTATCATTCGTGTGATTATGTACACTTATATATTTCCGTATGAAACCTGATATTATGACAAAATTGAGTGATGATTCCATTGGTTGCAGATTGTTAAAGCATATGTAACATATTCCACAACATGTAACAACACAAATGCAATGACAAACATTCCATAATTCTTTACATAGACAAAACATTAATTATAGAGTACTGGAAGGGTGTAGAGTGTGTACAAGTACGTACAAGAAATTGTCTATGGAATTGAAACGTCAGTAGAAATGGAAAAGTAGGGGGTATGCAATATGTACTAATGGGGGGTTTTCTAAAGTAGCACTAACCACTGGTATTGGTCTGCCGTGGCTGCGCAGCCCTCGCTGGAGTTAAGAAGTCAGCCTCACGCCAGCCGTGCTTGCGATACACCTCGCGTAGCTCCGCGTGCGACCACATAGTCATCAGAACTTGACCTGAAAACCAGCAATTTCATATTTTAACTAGCTGTCGTCGGTGAATTGAAAAGAAAACATAACTAGCAGTACATGTATCAACTAGCTTGCTCGCGACTTCGTCTGCGTAAAATTAAAAAAAGAATATATAGCTTATGTTACTTACAGATAAAAAACCCTACTAATAAGGCTAATTTTAGTCCCTTTCCTTTTCCGCTCTTTTCTTAAGAGGAGAGGATGGAAAGGAAAAGTGGATTTGACGATGGAGAAGACGCATAGGAAGGAGAAATATTCTCTTCATGTGCGTTTCCTCCTCCGTCTATTAAGGGTAGGCAACGCATCTGCAATTGCTGATGTTTATGGGCGGCGGTCGCTTTCCATTTCGGTGGATTCAGGTGGCCGCTTGCTCGTTTGCCACCTTATGTTATATAAAAAAAGATGTTTACCAGCAAACTTGAGCACTCGCGGCGTGTGCCGGTGGCGCTGCTTGGTGAGCGCGAGCAGGCGCTCCACGCCGCCCGCCTCCAGCAGCGAGCGCGAGAACTCTCCGCTCTTCTTGATCACCTCGTTCAGCGTCGCCAGCACCGCCGCTATCGTGTCGTCCGACGTGCCCTGCACAATATTCACAACCATAAATTATTTCATCTATACTCTATACTAATATAATAAAGCGTAAACACACACTACTTCGTGGGATGACAGCTATCAAAACATATTTTTTGAATAATTCTTTCTTTAATAAAAAGCCCTACACTTAAGACACCTTTTAGGCTATATACTTGCATGTTATTTAATTTAGAAGACAAATAAATTAGAGATAAGAAGGAGGTGACAAAGGGAAATAAAATGGACGCATTGGAAGGGGAAATAAGCTCTTTCGGTACGTGTAAACAATGGAACTGATTTTATGGTTGTTAATTGACAGCATTCGATTCGCTATATCGGCGAATTCAAGTTGTCGCTTGTTCATTTGCCAACTTAGAGCGGACGCACAGCTTTGACATAACTATCGCACAACCGTTATGCGATTGTCGATTATTTCGCAGCCAATTCAACTGTTTAGTTGCAAACAGTTGTTTGATAGTTAGTCGAAAGTATGGGTATAGTGTAAATAGTAATCCATTATACCTGATCGTGCTGCTGGTTGCCACTGGGCAGCTTCTGCACGAGGTCTCGCATCGCGTACTTCCCGATTAGCTCCTTGTTGCGCTGATCGATGGCGAGGTTGCGCAGCGCCGTCGCCACCGCGCACACCACGCGGTCTACCTCCATACGCAGCAGTTCCACCAGGATCGGCAGACCTGGGTAACATCACTGAATCATTCCTCTCTCCAATGAAGCATTTGAATATAGCTATCTCACTCACACTCTTTGAGAAAGACAGAGACAACAATAGTGTTATGACAGTTGATTTCACTATCTTGGAATATTTGGTTAAAACTATTGTTTACTTTAATGTAATGATAACAGTTTATGATGTAGTTATATTTTATAGTTGTATTATGTAATAATTATACAGATTCTGAACAAAAACTGTATACATCATACAAATCTTAACATTTACACTATTATAAAGCAAAATAGTATTAAAACTTGTTTTATTTATTTAATTTGTAAAAAAAACAAATAAGTATAAAAGTGTCATATTCAGTTGAATAATCTGTGGTAAAATATCGTCTTACATAATCTATGACCAGAATGAATAGGTATAAAACGTGTTTGAGTATCAAAGGAAAGTGAGCCTTATCCCAAACATCGTAAGGTACCTTTCTCCTTGCGCACCGCGGCGCGTATATCTATGGAGGGCTGCCAGTAGCAGGCGGCGAGGTTCTGCAGCGCGCCCGCCGCCGCCTCCAGCGTCTCCGGGTTGGAGCAGGACTGCAGCAGCGCCATGTACAGCGGCACCACCTGAAACGACACAATCAATGATATTAATATTATAAATGCGAAACTATGGATGGATGTTACTATATATTTCCAGAACGAGCTCAGTTTAACGGATGTCGCTAACACAAAAGCTACTAATTAGGTTTTCTTTTATAACTGCGTAAAAATGACTTTGCAGATAAAAGCTAGTCTATAATCTCTTTAATAATATTATATAGAGGAAATATTTGTATTTTTGTATTTTTGTATGTATTGAAATAACTCAAAAATTCTATTACAATTAAAAAGCTACATTATTAGTATTAAAAAATATTAATAATACATTGGCTATATTATTATCATTTTTAATTTCAAGCAAAGTCACAAACAATAACTATATAAAAGAAAATAAATGTACATTTTACTTGTAGGTATAATTTCCATGCAAATAACTTACTTCAGGTGACCACAGCATCTCAGTCCCCTTGGGCACGCTGTACCCCAGCTGTGTGTTGGAGCCTGTCTCCCCCAGCGGCTGCGAGTCAGGGTCACTCTTGCCTAGTGGACTGGTGGAATTAGAGGAAGACGAACCTTCCTTCTTCTTTTTACTGCCACCAAAGCATCCCAGATTCTCGCCTGAAAATAGTAGAAATTTTTTTAAATATTATATGATGACAAATGAGCAAGGGGCTCAAAATGTTATCGCTGTGAGGTTTGGTACCTTTAGATGCGCTGGCTTGTATCCTGGCTTGTCCCGAGGACTGTGTCGGCGGAGCGCGTGTATCGTACAATGGATCTTCGATTTCTTGACACCTGAAGTGAAAAGTTGTTATAATATTAAAATTATATTAGAAATGCTCACCTGTGCAAATAAAATGTTAACTAACGTGTATCCGTTCTCTGTAACTACTTTACCTAGCAAAACACATTAGTTTCAATCATATAAGAGAGTTAACAAACAAAAGCCATCTCTGTCGCACTCGTGTCTCCCGTATACATTAATTTCCAAAGATAGGCGAGAGTTGACAAACCCATGCCATCTCTATCGCACTCATGTCTCTCGCATACATTCGTTTCATAAGTGACGTGAGTTGACAAACTCGTGCCATCTCCGTCGCACTCGTGTGTAACCTTACCTGTATGAGAGGTTGCGCAGCACGCAGACGCAGTTCTCTACGACCTTGGTGCCGATGGAGTTGGCGCGCAGCGAGACGCGCACGGTGTGCAGCAACGCCTCCGCCAGGCCGGGCAGCGCGCGCAGCCGCCGCCGCGCGTACTCGCCCGCGGACGACGCGTTGCGCAACACGCCGCTCGCGTTGCGGAACACTGCACATAAAACAATACATATTTAAAGAAAACTAATCAACGCCTTATATCTTATCTTACTAATATTATAAATGTGAATGTTTATATGGATGGTTTATTAGAGTTTGTAACCTAAACGTTTAGTCTGAAAGAACACATAGGCTATTCACTTTCGTTTTTTAATTCCACGTGGACGGAGTCGCGGGTGAAAGCTACTTACTATTATATTTGTGCGAAAACTATTAAATACGACACGTTCGTCAGTAATCTTACTAATATTTTAAATGAGAAAATTTTGTATGGATGTTTGTTAGAGTTAGTAGCCTAAACGGTCGAACGGATCGGGATGAAATTTGGCATTGATGTAGAATAGTCTGGAAGAACCCATGGGCGACTTGTTTTTTTATAATGCCACGCTGACAGAGTCGCGGGCAAAAGCTAGTGATAATTTAAATCGAATAAGGGTTACTGGGCATTGCTCCATTCCTAGGTCTATTCGTATATCGCATTCCGAGTTGTATATGATACTTACCAGTAGACCAATACGTGTCTCCAGGGTTGGTGGGGTGCCAGCCGGACTGCGGGATGATCACCTTGTTGACGATCACCTGCGCCGCGTCGTCGATGATGGACTGCTTCAGGTCCTCGCACGACGACATGTTCCAGATCACGCCTGTCACTAATTCCTTCACCTATGACACACATTTACCAATATTTAAATTAAAATTAAACGAATTTGGCTATATTATAGTAAAAAAAATCAATACATTGTAAAACAGCATTACAAATCCTTTAGTTTTGTTAATGAACTATTCAACACGCGGGGGTAAATCTTTACTAATATAAAGAGGATGTATGTATGTATGTATTGCAATTAGTCAAAAACGACTGGGCCGAAAAAATTCTTTCACCATTAAGAAGTTACTTTATCAGTGAGTAACATAGGCTATCGTTTTTATTATTTTTTTTTCACACGGACAATAACTAGTGTAAAATAAATAAAACCTCTTTTCCACCACTACTACTATGAGTACAATTAGTTTTTTTTTTTGTTAGTAACCTCAATGTCATTGGTGCGGCAGAGCAGTGCCATGAGCGCGGGGATGCCACCGGCGTCTCTAATGGCGCGCTTGTTCTCGTCGTTCTGTCGGCCGTAGGAGAGGTTGCGCAGCGCGCCGCACGCGTTGCGGCACACCTCCGCGCTCTCGTGTGACACCAGCCGTACCAGGGGAGGGATTCCTCCTGGAAACGGAAATAAATAAAATTTCTCTCTCTCTCTCTCTCTCTCTCTCTCTCTCCGGATCGTTTCCTCATTCCTAATTCTTTGCAACGAGTATGGCGTTATGAATAGTTATGTCGAATATGGTGCATATCTGGTCCGTCCAACTAAGGTGAATTTCTAAAACCATATAAAATCGAGTCGAAGGAAAGAATCGAAGGTCCTATAAGTGGTGGCTCGTCTTTGAATGCGCTTGTGTGAACCACTGAATTTAAGAATGCAAGAATCAACACAATCTACACTATTATAAAGGGGAAAGATTTGGATTTGTATATATTAAAATAACTCAAAAACACCTGGGGCGATTTCAAATTTTCTTTTACCATTACAAAGATACGTTTTTACCAACAGCTAGTGGTTCATAAATCCGTTTATTTTTAATTGTTTAATTGCGACTTGCGTACGTCGAACGTGAGGGGATCGAGAGTAAACAATTTGGGAACCTTTTATGAAAGCTTTTTTAACAAAACATACCCAAGCTCCTAGTCTTCTGCTTATTAGGATCGTCCATGTAGGTGAGATGCTGCAGGTAGGCGGCTGCGTTGGCCTTCACCACATCCGAGGGTGAGTTGAGGAAGCCGATGACCTCCGGCAAGTTAGGGTCGCGCCACTGCAGCCCGCCGCCCTCCTCGCGCCCGCCCACGCCGGGGTGCACTGAAACACATAAATATTAGTATCCTGCTCGAAGGACCAATAAGAAATAAGTATAACTTATTAAAAAAATTACAGTAGATCAACTCGTTAAGTACTGCTCCTCACGCAGAGTAAAAAATCAATTGCTCAGAGAGATCCTTAGTTTGGTTTCCCACAATAAATGAACATACAGACATAATAGCAGTAATTTTAGATGTGTTAATGTGTTATCTCTCGATCTTTTTCACGATTAATTTATGAAATACTAACCTAACGCCATTCCTGCCATTTGCTTTTGCAATTCATCTTCATCTCCATACATTGACTGGCCGCCGGTACTGCCGAGGCTTAATCCATTCTGAGAGTCCTGAAACGTTAAAGTTACCTTTTAAGAAACTATACTTGATACAACAATAAGCTATTTAATGATTTACCGTTAACATGGCAATCTTGTTTCCTTGATGTTGTCAGCTTGTAGTTTTTCTCCTTTCTCTCATGATGGTTTATTCCAAATTATATACTCTCTAAATTTAATAGCGTGAAAATAGTAGCCTAAAGCGTGTCGTAAGTGTAGCGCTTTTTATTAAAGAAAAATATTGAGCAATATACTGTGATAGCTAACATTCTACATACGCTTTATTATATTAGTACTAGCTGTTTCCGTGCGGCTTTATCCGCATGAAATTACAAAAACTTTATTTTATTGTTTGTATTTGTCAAATTATCAATAGCAACATGACATGATGACAACCTTGCTTCCTTAATGTTGGTAGCAACTTAAGGTCTCTTTCCCACATTAGGGTTTTTATCCAAAATATTTACCCCATAAGTTTAATGGGGTGAAAATATATAGCCTAAAGCGTGACGTGTGTGTAGGGCAAAGAAAGAATTATTCAAAAGTATGCTGTAATTGCTGACATATTAGGCAACAAAGAAGTGTGTGTTTACGCTTTATTATAATAGTATAGAAGTATAGATAGATAAATAAGTTTAATTTTTTTTTCTTTTATAGTGTGTAAACCGGCGCTTGACAACTATCCCTCCTAGACTAAAGTGAAGTTGTGGTCTGATGGTACGCGCTTGTTCAGTAAGTAAAATATAGATTGTCTAGAGGTTAAAAGGCCTTTCATGGCCTGTAATAAAGGGTTTAGGATATTAGTGAAGTAGAGCATACTTTAAATTGTCCTTGCTGGTGGTGTGCGGGCTCGTACGTGGCGGGGTAGTGCTGGTAGCCGTACGCGTCGCCGGCGTACTCGCCGCGCGGTGACGTCACGCAGTAGTGCCGCCCCAGCTGCCCCAGCTGCTCCAGCGACGCCGAGTCGTACCTACCACAGGGTAAAAGTAACAGAGTAACCAGAACAATTTGACTAGTCTAATAACATGGTATTCACGTGTTTGTACCTCTGCTGTAGATGCAGATTATGCTGTGGCGGTATCGCGCCTGGAGAAGCGCTACGTGGGGACGCACTACCACCACCTTCTACGTACTCCTAGGAACATTAAACATACAAGTATATTAACATTGCTTTTTACAAGTTTACGATAGTAAAACGTTCTATAATGCAATTCTCACTTGCGCCATATAAGCGGGAACCTGCGTCCCCGGTTCAACGAGGTATGCAGGCTGCGCGGGGTAGGCAGCGCCGTAGTGCGCGTACGTGCCATAGTGCGCACCCGATGCCGCCCCGTACACACCCCCTGATACCGAAACTGAGTCCATCACCTGAAACATAGTTACATGGATTTAGTAAGAAGACCAAAGTATATAGACTTCACCCGCGACTCTGTCCCCGTGGAAATAAAACAAAAGTAAGCTTACAAAACTAGCCTTTATCTTCACTAGACTATCCTCTACATCTAAGCCAAATTTCATTGAGATCCGTTCAGCGATTCAGGCTACAAACTTTAACAAATATCCAACCATCTAAACTTTCTCATTTCTCAATAAGATTGTATGAAAGAGGATATGTTTATGAGAGTAAATTTGTAATGACAGCTGATGCATACTGTGTATAAATGAGGAGGATAATAAGATACTTTTCTAGTAATATAAAAATAAATATATCCAGGGAAAAAAATGTGTATCTTGAAAGTTTTGAATAGGGAACGAAATCCCTCTCTTTGATTCCTAGATTTCTCAGTTCCTAGTACTTGCGTCTAACTTTAAAATTAGATAATGTAACATAATCTGATTTAGCTATATTTTTTTTAAATTAACAAACCCGACCTAGTTACAAGTTCTAATTAGAATAATTCAGCGGATTAAAGTTATTACATTATTAGAAAACTGCTATTGGTAGAGTAAAAAGTTCAGAATGTTAATTACAAACTTTTTAATTAATTTCAAAGTTGTTCTAGTATAAAATACTGTCTAATTGTAGACATCACAGTGATTTTAGACTTTACCTAAACCTTTTACATGATTAAAATGATTCAGGTGTAATTTACAACTGAGATTAACCCAGTGAAATTGTCACCTTTACTCCACCTAGTGACTGACAAAGTGAGAGAATGAATGACCTGAGTTTTTTTTTATCACAAGTTGGCAAACCAGCAAGCGTTCACCTGAATCCGCCAATGGCGAAGCCACCGCTACCCAAAAGCATCCTCAATTGCAGATGCGTTGCCTACCTTCAATCGCCGGAAGAGGAGACGCACAAATACAGGATATTTTCCCTTCTTATGTGTATCATCCACCGTCAAATCCACTTTTCCTTCCCATCCTATACTCTTAAGAAAAGGGTGGAAAGGAAAAGAGACTAAAATTAACAGTGACGCAATGACTAAGGGTGTGAATTAGCGAGTGTTTGTTTGTCGTACTCAATCATCAAACGGACGCTTAAGATCTCTAGCGTTCTTTAACCCAATGTACTGGCGTAAGTGATTTAGTCATCGACTGAGTGACTGTAAACTCAACTTACATGAGGGTATTTCTGCGATGGCGCCATAGTGAGATGTCCCATGTGGTTGTAATGGGCTGCGGGTGAGGACACATACTGGCCATAGTCAGGCTCCACGCCCGACACTTGGTACTCTCCAGCCTGAAAATATAAGTCATTTCCATTTCCCTATTTGTTTTCAAACAAAGTAATAATAGGAATAGAAAGTTACTCCACTCAACACACTAGGTATAAATTACGTTTAAAGACGCGCCACTTTAATGAAATTTCTTATATAATTAAACTGTTTTAAACGTTCAGTAAAAAGTGTATACTAAAAAATATAAATAGCCAAGTTAAGGAAAATATACAAAGGAATTTCATTTAAGCTCTTTTTAATATAAAACGTCTAAAGAAGAAAATAAAATGTAACGAACTTGTTTGGCTTTCTTTAACTTGCTTCCAGTGATTTTAAAAAAGCTAATGAGTTTTGGGAAGTGTATTATATTAAAAAAAATGAAAAAAAAAGATATAAAACGATAAAATTATAATACTGGCATATTATGATAATAGTAAAAGTAAAAAAATCTTTTGTATTTTCTTAACACATACGTTACGTGTTCAAATGAAGTAAAGGTAAGATGGATTTAAGGGAGAGGAGAGAATCAAACAAGAGGAAATATCCTTCTGGAGGTCTCCTACTCTTGCTTCGTGTATGTGGTCCTTACCTGCATAGCGAGGTGATGCTGGTGAGCGAGCGCGGCCGACAGTTCCGCGTCCTCGGTGGAGGCGTCCGAGCGGGACACGGGGCTGTGCTGCGAACCATACGCGCCCTCTACCGGACCGTTGCTGTAACAACACGGGACGTCACATAACACTGTTACGACATTTGAAACTAAATCTAATAGTCAAAGGTGTGCCCTTTGACTAAACTATCGCACAATTGTTTAGTCTCGCTACGACCTTATATGGAGTGTGGGAACACTACTCGATTTTTAGTTGTGCAACTAAACAGTTTAATTGGCTGTGAAACAACCGACAATCGCACAACCGTTGTGTGATAGTTTAATCAAAGGTGTGCGCCCGCTATAATATCTAAGGGTGCGGACATCCGATAACGTTGTAGGTTTAAATCCATCGCCTTGAATATCAAAGAAGACAGCTTAATTTGAATGGATATAAGATTATTTAGTTTATTTTTTACTAATAGTTTTAAACCAAACTGGATGGATTGCGTGAAAGGTGACATGATCAAGAAGAGAGTGATGACTGAGATGACGGATGATAGAGTGCTTTGGAGGACGAAAACCCGGTGCGCCGACCCTACGGGAGTAGGATAAGGCAGGGGAGATGATGATGAGTTTTAAACTAAATACACGTTAGACAAACCGGGTATTATCTATACCACATCTCCATTGTCACCATAAAATATTACCAGTGGTGGTTCGTTACCAATTATTTGATATTCAAGTTTAATAAGTCACGTTATAAACCGCAAGAGAGTTGGCGCAACTTAAATTTGAACGAGCTGTTGACCCGCATTTCGAGCACCGCATGGGCCGCACCAAACTAACTTACTCCGCACACCTACCCCTGTATTCTACAATACAGATCGTTTCTCTACATCTTTATTAATATAAAAAAGTAAAAAAACATAATTGTTTTGAAACAATATATTACTAAATAGATTTTCAATTTCTGATTGAAAACAATCAAAAGCGACTAGCCCATGTGTTCTTCCAGACTGTCCTCTACTATGCCAAATTTCATCGAAATCCGTTCAGCCGTTTAGGCTACAAACTCTAAGAAACAAACATACATCCATCCATCTAAACTTTCACATTTATAATATTAGTAAGTAAGATTTTGTTTTCCTAGATTTTAAGCAGTTCCTTCTACGTCATGATATCAAAAACTCGTATCACTGCCATTCACTTATTAAATAAATGAAGCCTAACATCCACTTAACTTACACTATCCGCAAAGGGCAGGCTCTGATAAGTTTAACGGATGATGTCGCGTCCACTCAACTTGAATACTAATCTCATTAAAGCCTATTAACTGCTTTACCACGCGACTCAACTTGATTGCAACTTAGTTACAGTCAATATTATAATATGCATTATCATAATGATGTAGTTTCAACCTACTATTTTTTATTATTTATATTTTTTGTTGCCTTTAATTGAATACTCGATAACGATTTTTGTAGAAGGGAAAGATATTTCCCTTGAACGTTAGATGATGCAAGATTACTAAAGTGTAACTTTAGGATTATCTGGAGCAGGATACAAGAAGGAAAATGAGAGTTCTTGAATAAATAGGTACCCAATTATCTTCTCTCGTATTCTACGAAACAAAGAGCTTAAACAAGAACTAGGTAACCTAAAAATAACGCAAGTTTTAATTACAAAAAGATACACGAAACTATGTACGAAATTCGTAGCCAGATTCTGTGGTTTAAGGATATGTAGAAGTAACCTTACTTTTTCTATTTTATTCTATACTAATATTATAAAGAGGAAAGATTTGTATTTTTGAATGTATATATTTCACGTATAAACTACTGGATCTATTAAATTATCTGTGTGTAACAAAGGCTATTTTAATTTCACGTAGGTATATTTTTAATTTCACAGGACGAAGTCGCAAGCAAGTGCTATTTAAAAATAAGTGTTCATCTTAGTCTGGCAACATTAAAGTTGATTATTCTTTCTACCTTTAACTTGAATTAAAAGAATTTCTTTCCGGAATTATCGGCACAGTATACAGCAACATATTTTCAAAAGCATTTTGTAATGATTCTCGAAGCTTTACAAATTACCTTTGAAGAGTTTGCCTTTCGGACTGACGTACTTATTGATGTTGCCACACAGATGAATGTATTCAAATGAAAAAACTTCAAACGAAAAAATAGAATTTACTCTTACCGTAAATGTTAAAATAATTTTAATAAGTATTCATAACACAAACAATTCTTATTAACTTCAAAAAGGTTAAAACAACATCATACATCGTAACCTTGAAAATTTCTAATCAAATTGGTAACTGATTGTTGAATCGACAATATTAGTATGAGAACAGTAGAGAAGTCCATCAAATTAATTCGATCAATTAAAATCGATTCGTATCACCAATTATAAACTAGTCGATTATTCGGTCATCGGAATCGCTGCCAGGGCTGCTAATCATAACGATTCACTATACAGTCAAAAAGACGTTAAATCCTAATACCTTTGAATTAAAACTATTTTCATTCATATAATAGATATTGAATTATCAATGATTGTCATGATAATTTTAAGGAATATTCATTAAGTTTACTGTATTAAGCAGACTTTTAAAATAATTTTCAGAACACAAAAAAAAATTCTATTAAACTCGTCGCCTTATAGAAGTTTCTACGGAAATATCTATAGTTATCTCTATATTTTTTAACGAGAAACAATATGTTTTACTGCTTCAAATGGAAGAGAACAAGTAAAATATAAAAATATTAGTGGCAACCCTATTACTAAATCCTCTACGAGCGTGTCAGTGTTAAAACTGAACCGAATGTTGACGTGACGCTACCGATTTATTAATTAACATGTCAATCGAAACAACAACGACAGCTTCCGGCAAACGGCGCGCGACTGGAAATTGTGAAATCGTGTACACTTCAAACCTTCTATTATTGTCACGAGTCACAACAGTTAAAAGTTAATAGGCACTAAAGGGAAACACTAAAGCGTGAAGCGTTTTAAAGCACAATGACTACCATCAGGATTCAATATTAAAATTTCGGCTTAACATTTAGCCATTCAGAACCTAACTACAGCGAGCTTTAGGGTCTGACCCATTACTGGCTGATCAAAAAAGGTAACAAAATGCGATATTTACATATTTTACGCGTTGGATTGTTATCACACAATTTGTAATTTGGTGGGACAGTCCCTAAGTCCCATTGTAAAAAAGCACCAAAAAAAAGTTGACAAAAAACTAATCTAATAATTTGTATGAAAGCAGCCAATCATTAATATCATTCTATTGTCAAACTTTGGAACTTTCACAAGTTTTGGTTTAATCGAAAAATTAAAAAGTTATCCTTACAAATTACATTTAGCACAAAAGTTTGTCGTGTGCCGAGATTTACAACCACACAGCGTTCGCACGACGTCCTACGAACAAGTTCCACTTTATATCTCCATTTAAAGGAGAAAAGATTGGTGTTTTTTTGTTTTTAATAAACTCAAAAACTACTGGAATGATATTTAAAATTATCCCTAGATGACAAAGGCTATATATTTAACTAACTGTTCCCGTGCGGCTTCATCTGCATGAAATTATGAAAATTTTATTTTATTGTTTACATTTGTCAAATTATCAAATAGCAAATGTCAAAATGACATGACATGACAAACCTTGACAATCTTGCTTCCTTGATGTTGGCAGCAACTTATGGTCTCTTTCCCATATAAGGCTTTTTATCCAAAATATTTACCCCCTAATTTTAATGGCGTGAAAATATATAGCCTAAAGCGTAACGTAAGTGTAGGGCTTTTTATTAAAAAAAGAATTATTTAAAAATATTTTGGAAAAGCTGACATCTTAGGCAACAAAGATGTGTGTGTTTACGCTTTATTATAATAGTATAGATATAGATTACGTTATTTTAATAAACGTTCGCCCATACGAAAATGGGACGGTTCTATATATTTTCCACTCTCGTCCCTACTAAGAATAAATATAGACCTTCATTTTCCTTATTCTTTTTAGTTTTTCATAGCGCGATGACAATTATTCAAGTGCTGCTGTACATTGCCCAGTCTCAGAAAATGTGAGAAAATATTCTTGGAACGAAAATTTATTATTAAAGTCAGTTGTTTGCAGCAACGTGTATACCATATTTAATATTCTGTTCTTCCTTTGTTACACTAGTAATTTTAACAGTGGCTTCATACCAGAAACATCTATAAAACATAGGTTATCTAAAACGAAGGACAAATGAAAGTGGATATATTACAAAATATTTCGATCGACTGGAATGGTGAGACGGAAATCTGACTAATATTACCTGTGGTCGCTTGAGTCATATCCTTAGAATACCCTACTGGTAAAATTCTGTGTAATTTTACACGGGTATTTAGCTAAGTGCTATAAAATATGTGGAATTAAACTGACTTCTGCAAAACCATTTTATCATCCCACTCATTCTATTACAAAAAACTGAAATAGCAACGCCTTTTTGGCTAGTGAAAAGTCCACACGCATTAAAATTACTACACCGTACAACTAAACACATCTACATAGTAATTTTTAACACGTTTCTTACTACGATTTTTTGCAAACATCTTTTAACACTTATCTACATATCTACAAAACCAGCCGTCTGTTTAAAAATACGTTTTATATATCCAAGTATGGTTATTTAAGGCGTACAGGCGGAGGATTCTCATTGCAAAAACAAAACAAAGCATGGTGTAATGGTATGCGAGCTGGTCGAGGCGCGAACCCGGCCCGTCCGCACAACGCTGATTCATCTGTATTAATAATTACCTAATGCCCCGCCGGATTCCTGCGCGATTCAATACATTTTAAAATACACATTAAAGGAATAACAAGTATACTTATCTATACTATTATAATAAAGCGTAAACACACACTACTTTGTTGCCTAAGATGTCAGCAATTACATTATTTTTGAATAATTCTCTTTTTAACAAAAAGCCCTACACTTACGTCACGCTTTAGACTATATATTTTCAAGCCGCTAAACTTAGGGGTAAATATTTTGGATAAAAACCATAATGTGGGAAAGAAACCATAAGTTGTTGCCAACATCAAGGAAGCAAGGTTTCCATGGTTTG